CTCCTGCTCCTCCTGCAGTAAACTTTAATTAACCAAAGAAATACTGGAGTTACTCACTGAGAACACAGAAACAGAAAAATGGAGGAGCTGAATGCTAAATGCCTATCATCACAAGTGAAAGTGAATCAGTTTGGAGGTAGTGGAAAAGACAACTCTTTAAACCCAAGCAGCAGGAATTCCAGTCTGTAAGCAAACATTTTTAAATAACCCAAAAGAAGACTTCTGTACCATTGCACTTTTCTGTTTCTTTCCCTGGCATATGTTTTGGGTTAGTAGCTAGTCTTTTACAACAAATTAAATGGAGAAAAAAGCAAATAGAACAACACGTGTATCACCTGTGTGGAGAGTTCACTAAAATCACTGCTCTTCATCTGCTATGTGTTATTCTTACTCTGATGAGACAACTGTTAGCTAAAAGTCAAAAACAAGCAAGTCACACAATAGCAATGTTTGTACTTTGGGCTGAGCCATCAGTTCTTTCTAATTTTAGTGAGCTAGCACCACCCTTACGTGGTAGGTCATTGTGCCGATTACCACAACAATAACAGCATCTGCCATGCCACCAGCAAGTAACATCTGAGGTGTTATGGTTTTGTTGTGCTTTTAGGGATAATAATGAACCATTGATGGAAAGGAAACCACCACAGTAAAGGATGATCCCACTGGTCAAGTTGAACAAGTTGCCAAGTTGAACACTCTTGCTGAAGAGAATCCATGACAGAACTAAGGTTCTGATCTTCTTGGATCAGCATCCTTGCACTAGCACTGCACTCTTCCCCACCACATCAAAGCAGGCAGCATGAGATCTGGAAAGTGATAGTTATTCACTTGTGAACATTTCCATACCAGTTCCAGAGTGCCAAGAACCCTATTACATGACCTTAGCTATCAGGTGGCATATTGGAGAAACAAAACAGACTGCTGGATTTTCCAACAGCAGCCAGTACTGTGAGTCACACAGAAGAGCTGTGCTTTGGACAAAAGCTGCCTATTAGTCTTGCATGCTCATAAGTGATTCTGAACAGCATCCTGCACCCAGCATGCACCTGGCACATTTGCATAATTTGCAGTATTAGAGTAGAAAGAGGATTATGAAAACAATTACTGAGGCAATATTCAGCTCCAAATGGATGTGCTGCTACTACCTTAGCATAGCAGGCTGCTGACAAAGTGAGCTTTAGATAGATTTGTCACATCCTTTGCCTTTGCCCTTCATTCTTCTCTTAGCCTCTCCATTACTCCATTAATGACTCTCCCAGCTTCTCTTTCTTCCCACTTTTCACCATTATCTACTCAGCCACTGCACCACTCTCTCCCTCTCTCCCACTCATGATGATGCTTCTCTTTGTGCCAGTGTCTCTGCTTCAGCCACAACAAACCATGATCAACTACACCAGGATCCTCCTTTTGACAGTAAGTACTGACACACATATGAAAAGACAGTAAGAATCAGCGTCTTTTTCCTCCATTTATGGAGTCATCCCACTTCTTCTGCCCCTCATCTTTCTGTCAGTCAGCCATTGCTCTCACGCCTGATCATGTGAGGATACAAAAGATCCTAATAACTACGTCTCAGAGGAAAAGGAGCAAAGATTTACAAGAGCTCACCATCTGGGCAGTAGTTGGTATAGAGCTGTCACTCAGTGCCAAATTCACATGCCAAGTCAGATCCATCATTAGAGAGCTGTCTGTGCACAGGGACCATATTCTCAGCTGAAGCAGAACAAATCTCAAAGAATTAATCTCAGTTTCCAAACCTTTTCATCTCAGGCAATGTTGTAGAAGCAGTGTCCCTGATCTAGCATTTAAAGATGCTATTGCTGCATCCCAAACAGCAAAACAAGGTGTAATTTACTCTTGTAAACCAAGAGTAGTAAGGTACTGCTCCTCTCAAGCACACTGCAAAGGGCAGAAAGAATCTTTCCCTGTAACCCTTAAACAATCTCAATTTTGCTGCAGCAAACTGCCATCTCCCTTCCCTAACCAACCCCCCAGAGTGGCAAGTGCACTTGGCCACCTCTGTGTTTCACAGGCTAGGAAAGAGAATGCCTGTTGTGTTGGCACAGGAAGGAGGCGCAGGCAGCCACGCACAAACTTGCTGACCTGGCACAGCATTCAGCTTTAATGCACAACTACTTTTCCAGGCAACTCATTGTTAGCCTTTAATTGAGAGTGCTGTAGAAAAGGCCAAGGGACTTGGATGGAAGTTATGGGAAGCAAAGCATGATCTGGAATGCTGTTCTGCAGTCTAGAGAGCAGGTGGGTAAATCCAGCAGAGGCTGCCTGGGTGAATGGGGAAGGCTGGAACCAGCACCATGCAACAGCCTGTCTCCAAACGCAAGTAAGAATGGATCGCCACAGAAATCCATTTTCATACCTAGTCTCGCAGCCACTATAAAAAGTATATAAATCACATCAGTAACAAATCATGTAAGGATTGCATGACTGGATTCAGGGGTGGAGGGAGCAAGGGAAAATTCATTTTTCCCATCATGGTCCTCTTCCTTTAATCTCTGAGGGGCCTTTCTTAAGTCCCTTCTGATACCCACTTCCTACCAGGAGCTGAAACTTACAATGTCACCCAGCTGAAACCCTGCCTAGGATCTTAAAAAGCAAAAATACATGCTTCTCAAGAGAACCCTCCAGATTATCTGGTTGATTTTTAGAAATTAACAAAAATAATGCTAAAATATCCAGTGGCCTAATTATCAGCCACTTCTCATTTATATTCCCATTAAATTCACAGCTGCTTTGCAAAGAGACAGGCTGATGTATGGAGACTGTCTTGTATGCTCTCACCCAAGCCTCTTCTATTTATTTCACTGAAAATTATGACACAAATAACTCAAATGCCTGCTTAGTATTTGGCAGGTGCCATTGGTGTATGACACACTATTCAAAAAGCAAACAGCAAGAATAACATGATGTTCTAAAGTAAAAATCAGGGCATTTAATTTCTCTCATGGTAATAGAACTGTTAATTTTCAAATATCCACTGACCTTTTCACCATCCAAAGGAATTTAACTGTAAGCTAAATCTGCCAGTTTACCTGTGCTGTAATGAACCATAGCTGAAAAGTGGGGAGCTGTGAACACTGCAATTGCTATTGAGGGGTTGGGGGGAAGAACTGACAAGGTGTCTGTGTGACTGGCACACTGCAGACAGACCCCGAGGTGTCACTGTGCCATCTTCCTAAACTCACCCAGCTGGCTTCCTTGGCAGGAACAACACAAAAAGAAGAAAGAACATTCAATTGCATTTTCTTGGCGTTAAAATATGCTAAATTGGCTGAATACATGTCAGCTTCATGCAGTGAGATATTTCAGCATCTCTAAAATGTATTTGCAGGTATAGTTCTAATTTGCAAGGACATTCTCATGCCAAAGTACCATTTGGGTACTTACCTGATGACACAAATCTACAGCAAGAACAAGTCTAAGAAATGAAGTAGTTTTTCTAGACAGAACTAGGCTGATTTCAAGTAAGATGTTATCATACCTATGGATTGCACAGAGCATTGGTATAACTCAATCTACCTGTGCTTTAGCCCTGGAACTATTTGTTGCCTGTAAGGTAGTCTGTCAAAACTGATGCAATTTTTACACACAAATTCCTGCCCACTGAGATGCAGGCTGGGATTCTCCCATCTGTTTCACATTTAACAAAAGGCTCCCACTGTAAAACTTTACCTACTGCATATTCCAGCTGGAATAATCCAGGTGACCTAAGGACAAATAGTCTAAATCATGAAGAGACACCAATAACTTGATTCAGTGTCTCCAACAAAAGTGAGAAGTACAACTGAGAAGCACAGCTGAGATATTCTCAAGTAATTACATTTTCACAGCAAGCAATTTTATCACCATATAAAATGAAGTTGTTTCTATCCACTCATACTACCCATAACTAAAAAAACAGAAAAAATACAGAACATGTGAAATACTGTTTTTATAGCAGCCCTCAAAGCTCAAACACAACCTTTGTACTCAGCTGCTGTTTGCCTATTCCTGATTTCAAACAGCAAGAAAATGGATTATTTGGGACATATTTGATTTAAAGGTCCTCTTAAGCAGACTCTTCAAAGCCAGCCATATGATGGCAAACAAAACATTCATCTAAAACATTGAAAGTGGTAAATTTCTGAAGACATTGATTGTATTCAAAGAAGAAAAGTTTGTCATGAAAGAATGAGTAAATAAAAATTATGCTGGACTCCAGTAGAATACAAAGTAATACAGAAAACATGTTTGGAAGTATTAGTTGACGTGAGAGGTGACAATGCCACACTTTAGGGTTTTAAGAGTTGTAAAAAAACCCTCCTTATTATGATCAGAGCTGATGCACTGACAGCTATACTCCCAGTACATTTATCTGGAGCAGATGTTGCTACATTTTGTGCACAAAGATCTTGGGGCAGTTGCAGTTTATAAACAACAAAACAACTCCAAAGTTCAATATGCAGGCTTAAATAGCAATTTGTAGTAAATGCTACAACTGAGCTAAAATGAGAAAGAGAATTTGCCCTTCTGATTTGAGGGGTTAACTTAGCCAAAAAATCAACAAAACCACAACGAAATATGGGAAAGTATAATAAGCCTAACAGCTTTGTAAGAATTTGTGATAAATCAGATGTCAAGTTTGGATTCAGCTTAGAATTTAGCAGGTTGGTTTTCTTTTTTTTTTGGTTTTTTTTTTGTTTATTTTTGTTTTTTTTTTTTTTTTTGTGGGGTAACCAAACTATGAATAAAATACTTATTTTAAGTTCTTTTTCCAAGTCCCTTAAGAAAACCTGTGAGTTTCAGAGTCTCTGCTAACTAACCTCAGCCAACATACACAGGTTACCAATAATACAAACTTGATGAATTACATCTGGTTTCATCACCATGCAGCTCATAAACCACAAACCAGACCAAAAGTACGTTTTCATGAAATAATTTGGAGTCAGTCAGGTTCCTGAGCTTTAAGATTTTGAGCTTAGAAATCAGGAGCCAAACACATGTGAATTTGAGCCAGTGTGTTTACTATCTATGATGTTTCCTCTCTTGCATGGCTATAAACATTTGGGTGGCTTATTTTTGAAGGAGTAAGAAACAGGCGACGCAATTAGGTTCAATGGTTCTGTTCGGTACAAGAAAACAAGATATTTTTATTTATAGGCTTATAGCTGCGTGCTCTGGGAGCTCTCCTGATATATGCTTCACCAGCTGAGTCACAGTGCGCACAGGATTAGTCACGGCTGAGGAAGTGTCCCAAGGTTTCATTTACAGCCGCAGATTTACCTGATGTATATTAATTTCTCCTGTGAGCAGCAGCTCTCTGAAGATGTGTGCTTGGCTCTGTCATTGCCTCCACGTCACCACACCCTCCAAGAGAGGGCCAGAGTGCCAGCAGGCCCAGGGGAAGGCGATGTCTGCAGGCCGGGCGGGAACAGGAACGGAGGGCTCCCAACCCGTACATCAACATATGTTCTGTGGGCCTCGACAGAGCAGAGCTTGCGTCACACTCACTTGACGCTATTTTAGGCGACAATGGGTAAACTAAATGACTTAGCTGAGCGACCCAGCACACTCCTTTCATTACATGCTCCAGCAGAGAAGCCTGAGCCACTGGCTGTGCTTCTGTGCCTGTGAGCTTGTACCCATTGTGCTCCCACTCTGCGCCTGGGGAGCAAGGACAAGAGGCAAGGACTTAGCCCAGGATTTAATTGCAAATCCCTGGCAGAATAAAACCCCTACCAATATCTCAGGCATCCAGATTCCAAGTCACCCTCTCCATGTAATCCCAAAAAATCCTCTGCCTGAAGGATCTGGCCTGCAAAGCCCGGCTCTTCCATAACTGCCTTCATTGGATCACCAAACAAATACAGGGTGTCTCTGTTACCTTTCCTCACAAGCGTGAGCAGAGTCTGAACATGGGCGCATGCATAAGTTGGCTGCACGTCCTCTATTTTGAGAGACTCAGATGAAGCAAAAGGAAGATCAAACCTGCCCACTTGAGCAACTCAATAAAACTAGAAATGCAGGATTCCTAAAAGGCTAAAGAGCGTAACCAGCCTTTGAACCCTAAGACAGTTGTGTTTCTGCACCTCACCTCCAGTTTTTACACATATGTTGAATTTAGACATGGAGAGCCCTTGCACTGGTGCCCACATCCTCATGCTACCTGTGTGAATGATGCTGTTTTCCAAACAGGCTGTTCACATTGTGCCCAGGGGATGTCTACATCTTGCTGCATCTCAGAGACTTGTCCCCAGCCAAGTAAACTACAGACACACTTGAAGTTTCTTCAAGTAAAAGTGTAGCTTAATGAAAAAACATTGGAAAAAAGGAGAATTGTAAAGTAAAGCACTTAAAGACTATGTTATTACAGAATTAGTACCTAAATAAACTTACAATATATTTTTACACAAAAGCAAACCACAGTGAAGCTGCTCCATGCTGGCTTGCATAGTTTATAGCTTCGAAGACAAATATAGAGATCAATTTGTCTAATGAAAATAAACAGCTCCATGAGAAAGTTCTGTTTCTTTTGAGGTGAATATACATTTTATCTAGTTTAGCATGTCCATTTGGTATGTGCACAATTTTGCATTTCTTTCTGCAGCAGAACACAAATTGTTAACTTTCACCTGTAGGTTAAACCATGCCTAGTTTCCTTCCTTCTATTATTCCGTATTCTCCTTCCTCTCTTCCTGTTTCTGTGCTAAGGAGACTGACATCTACTTACGACAAAATTTTCCTCCTTGCTTTCAACAATTTCTCCAATAAACAAATTGGAACTTTTCAAAAATTTCTCAAATCAATACATTTTTGTGGAAGCTTCTTTGGGCCTTGACAGAGAGGTCTTTAATACCCTGTAAATGCAAATATATTATCTGAAAGCTTGACAAGTTCTGAAAAAGAAGTGAATCATTATCTACCAAACACTGTACTAAAATTACCTGTATTATTAATACCACTGATGACAGGACTGGTCCACAGTGATTTAAAGTTTCAAAACCAATAATGTTTCCCTGCTCAGATCTATACAGATGCCACAAAGAGAAGGAAGATTATTTCCCAAGTGGTTCACTGAAAAAAAAAAAAAAAAGTATTAACATAGCTGATCTAATACTTCAATCAATTTGCACCACAGTTCCTGACAAGATCTCCCTGAAGATTAGCCTTAAAATTATATCACAACCTAATTTTGCCTTGTTTTACATTAGTCTGAAACCAAGCCTAGATTTTATTGAACTTTGATTCTGTTATTTTACATATTATCCAGATTAAACTTTTACTATGGTTTCACGGTTTGAAAAGCATCATCATCTACTGGTAGGGAGTTTTTAGTGCAGCAGGAAATGGAATTAGGAGAGATCCACTGACTTAATTAAAGATGCCACTAAAAGCTTTGCCAACTTCAAGTATACTGCCCCTCTGACTTCAGCAGTGATCCTGGGAGAGAATGTGGAGCAAACTGTGGTCCATGTACGCAGCAACTCTGCTGTAGAGGAGTCTCTGATGCAGAACAGACCTGCTGAGGTACATCACATCTAGGGGTGCATTTACCGCCTTTAGACCACTAACATTAGCACTATGATTTTAGGATATGCAATAATTTGATATGGTAATTGTGCTGTGTTGTGCCTGCCAAAGGAAACACCTCTACCTTCTCCACTGCTGCAATGTATATTAAAATCACCAAAGTAACTAAAAAAGGAGAAATGTACAATGAAAACTCATCTAGATTTATACCAATAGTATTTCCTATGATCACCATTCTGATTTACCAGGCAGCTACAGTCTTCATTGTATTACAGTAAAAGTGGAGGTGGAGACCCCAAATAAATGCCCTAAATCTAGGAATACTGACACCAGGAGTGCTAGTGAAAGAAGTCTCCCAGGAAATATCTCAAAAAATTAAAAAGGTGGAAGAAAAAAAGCCCTGTTTGAGTTTTGCACCATGTTTTCTCTCTGTGTCTTAAGATACCAGTTACATGACTCACTCTGGAGATTTGAATTGCTCCGTGGGCAACATGACCTTCTCATACCAGCTTTGTTCCTCATGCTAGCAAAAACTGGTCATCCATGAATACTGAATGAAGAAACTTCCTTATTAGTCATCTCTGGATCTATAAGACTAATACCGGAAAATGGTGTTTAAACAAGCCCACTGCTGCTTCAGGTATGTGGCCTTCCAACATTTCAAATCTAAATAGTTTCATCAGGTGTGGGAGGAAAGATAGAAAAGGGGAAAAAAGTTAGATACACAAGTCATCTCTCTCTAGATAAAATCTATGGATCAGCACTCCTTTCAGCAGTTATTTAGGTTTTCATGTTTATATGCCTGACTGGGAAATCCCTTGGCAATTTTGAAACCAATGCTTTAAAAACCCCCCAAACCTGAAAACCCACAAAGCCCTCAAACTAAGAAGTTTTCTGTTTCACTTTAGCTGGTTAGCTGTCCATCCTAATGTATGCTGTAAAATGCTGTGACTTCTCATACTCAAGTAAAAAGCTACAGATCAAATTCTCCCTCCAAGTACAGGAAGAACAGTTATTTGTCTACACATGGTCTTGCCTGCACCTCTCCTGAAACAGTTCAGCACATTCCTGACTGTGTATGAAACTAAAATCTCAGAGCAAAGCATATGCATCTCAATAATTCATATTAAAGGCATGTTGCCTCATTCAAAATATAGTGTAATAATATCAAGTCATACCCTTTATAATGGTCACTGACAAAAAAGTCACCTTGTTCCCATGGACATTGTTTGCTTTTTTGTTTAAGCTCTCTCTGCCTATAACAGTACAGGCTCAAATTCCATTGAACAGCATATTGCACCCTCTCACCAAATTATGTGAATAGGATTGACCAAGATGAGGAAAAACATCCCCATAATTGCAGGGGACCAATCAGAATCCATCATTTATCCCTGGGTCAACAAAGTACTAAGCTAAGCGCTAAGTGTTCCTGCAGATCTAAAACTTTGCAAAGACTTCAGATTGATAACTACACCGAATAACTGAAACTTTCTCACATAGGAAGCACAGCATCAGCAATCAAAATCCTCATGGAAATCCTCATTCCAGTGTATGAAACAGCACAACATATTAACTGTACCTTTTCCTCTTCATAACTAAAAGATGTAGACAGCAGTGCAACTTAGGCAGTTCAAGATGAAACTTGAAATAAAAAATTAAAAAAAAAAAATCCAACCAAACCCTACCCCCAGATTTTTAGCCACTGTACAATGAGTAAAAATTATCCCAGAGCCTAAACATAGTGTTGACATATCTGTGTGAACAAGAATGCTTGTTATATCTCTAAATTGCATATATCTTACTATACCCTTGGCAACCTGTTATCTTGGTTTCCCTTTAAGTGGATACCACAATATGTTTTTAATAAGTTTAGCATTTAAAGAAAAATCCACCAGTAGCTCCACTACTTTTTCTTTCAAATGACATGTAAGTGGGAACATCAATAAAAATAGTTCTAAATGCCCATCTGATACACTCTTCTTTTATCAGCAGCCTCTACAAAATGCCATGTGCTGGCCAAGGATCCAATCTGACTTCATTTGTAAATGGCTGTAATGACATATAAGACAATCTCTGTAAGAGACAGAAATTTGAGTTTCATTTTCAAAGGAAACATATTTAGAAGGCTTTCCAGTTTCTCTAAATGTTGGATCAGCTGTAGGATGTAAGACAACACTCTCTGATTACCAAAAACTCTGATTACCAGGAACAGGATGCTAAACCACATGAAAGCAGTCTTGCTGCTCAAGTACTGACTAACATGGTGTAGAAGGAATGTTTAACAAGTTTGTTCATGCAATAGGATGGGTGAATGCCATCTCTCATCACTACGTGCACACTCCAGAAATTCTCTCACTTCAGGAAAATGTGTCTGAAAGTCTGTCAGTGGAATGAAGGACGGAAAAGTTTGGAACAGTGATGCACACATTTTACATTTTATGTAAATTGTACATGTTGTTTATATCACATCGGTGCATGTGAATTCTACAGCTACTATGGCATAGCTAACCTTTTTAAAAGTTCATGTACACTACAGTTAGCAAAAGTAAACTTATCATAGTTCAGAAACAAAAATGTGAACTGATGGCAACTTCCAGGTTCACAGGATGGAAGTCCAATGTGGCACGACAAAGCCAGACCACAATAGTCCTTGACACTGCTCTGATGCCAGCTAATCACAATCTTTTTCTGCATCAATAGATCTCACTATTTGCCATGGACTCCTTGAATTCTATAAAGGGAATTCTTCATTTTCTCACTGGATTTCATCAGTACTATGTAGCAGCATTTTTAAATTGTTCATTTCTACAACATAAGGTATCTGTATCACCCCTTGTTCTAAAGGAGGGCAAATAAACAAGAGGTAGAGAGGTCCAAAGGTGTCCACATGACTAATTAAAATTTTGATGTTAACCTCAGAGGAGGCAGAATAATCAAATCCTATTTAGAAATAAGTAACACTGTTTCAAATATCTTCCTATTTTTGACTGCCCCCAAAACTATTCATATTGCCTGAGTATCACTGAACAGGAATGGCAGCTCTTCCAAGCCAAGATGCTATGAACTTTCAAAACCTAGGAATGTATGACAGTTCCTAAAAGCAATCTAACCATGTCCCTGCGGTAGCAAAGTTACCTCCAGATGAATCAGAGCTTTTGTGGTCAGTTCTCAACTACAAGTCCCAAGGGGCAATCAGCTCTAAATTACACTCTGAACTTTTATTCCATACACAGATCTACATCACTCAGAATACGTAGATACTGCTACACAGGAGAATAAACCCAGTTCTTTACAGGGCTATTCAGTGGCCTTCTTGCAAGGCCCTCTTCCTCTTCTTTCAGCTCACTTTGCTTTTTATATTTTTAATTGCACACTCTTGGTTACTGTAAACCCTGTGTTCTGAACAGTGCTCAGATCAGGCCTGTGCAGCTCCATGGGGTTGGACTGCTGGCATGGAGCTGCAGCTGTGGGCCACAGCAGAGCAGCTCACCAGCACCCAGAGGCCACACAGCTCGTGGTGGGTGGCTGCTGACCAGCTGCCACAAACCTCAGCCAGTGCGTGGCACACAGCTGGCAGCAGCCCTGTCCTGGGGAAAACACACACAGTCATCACTGCTGTCAGCTGCACCTCATATCCCCTTCCCTCTCCTTTCATGTGCTCATTACAAGCTGCCCTCTCCCTGTGCATACAGTACCCTCCTGTTTGTCTGCCCTCGCAGGACTGGGGTCTCCTCTCCCCCGCAGCGGCCCCATGAGCCATCACAGCAGTCCATCTTGTTCCTTACTTCCCAGGTCCCGCCCCACACACAAACCAAAATACCCCCACGCTGTTCCCTTATTAACCTCAAGTTCCTGCTTCCCAAACCTCCCACACTGTTGGCTTGCTGCTTCAGCTCTTTTCCTAATCCTCCCAGGCTCCTCTACCCTCTGCCCTTGCTCCCTACGTTCCAAACTTCCCTTATCTTCTCAGCATTCCTGCCACTCAAACACCTTCTGGACATCAGGAGTCTCAGGAAGATAATTCCTGGCACTCCAAGATGAAGAACCAGCATGTTCAGCTGCCTTCTCCTGCAGTGCCCAGGCCTGCAGGGCTGACCCTCCCTGACGCAAATGGCAGACTGCTCAGAGAAAGACTTGGAATATTGCTCCCAACCAAAGGCTCACACAAAGCTGCAAATCCCATCTGACAGTCTGTGTTGTGTAGGCTGGATCAAGACCCAGCAAATGGACCTGCTGCTTGTACCAGTGAACGATCACACTGGTGGGTTGTCATTTCCCACGTAAGCTGCATTCCCACAAGCTGTCAGTTGCAAGAGAATGGAAACCCAAGAGCCTCAAATCCCTCTGAATTGGATAACATCATAAAGGATGCAAATTTTCAGTCCATTCTTCCTAATTCTGATATTTTATTCTTATCCCCATGCTACCTCACCCCGGATCTTATTCTTCATCGAGTTCCAATTCACTTTCCCTCTTCAGTTTTAGTCACTGTGCCTTTTTCACCAATGGGAATAATTTCTGCAGTAATTCAGAGGACAAAAAATGTTTGAACTCTCAGTTTCTTTGCTTAGCGCCACAATTTGTACTGATTACCTGGGCTGCAAAGAGTCAAATTATCTTCAGGAATGCACACACTACCTGACTTCCCTTCCACACAAACTTCTGTGTAAGCAAGCATTGAAAAATCTGACCATTAGGCCAAATTTCAGGAAAGTAAAATGGCAAAAAATGGAGACTTAAAAGACATAAAACTTCCCTGAGAAATGTTCAGCCCACGCTTTAAAGCAAAGAGGCACTTGAACATCTCAACAGTGTAAGTCTGTATTTTAATCAAGCGCCTGGGAAAGCAAAATTTCTTTCTATGACTTGGTTTTATAAGAGCCAAACTGCTAAGTTCAGCCTCAAACAGTCACTGCAGGGAAAAAAAACCCACCAAAATCAAGCAGTAGAAATAAATTTTGCAGAGGCAATAACAACAAAATGCCTCATAATGGGAAATATTGCATAATTGCAGCTATGGACAAAGTTGACAGTTCTGCTTATAATGACAAATGATAACCCCCTCCCCCAAAATAAAACAAGTTTTGCTTAGAGGCACAGGACAACTGAACAAAAACCCCCTGCATCTTCAGGAAAATAACCCTAAAAATTGAAATAGTAATACAATATTTTTTAAATCCAAATTAATATACCAATAACTTTGAAGATTACATACTGCCCCAACTGACAGGGCAATGCCTGCCATGCAGGCAGCCTACCAGAAAAGCCTAAAAAGATCCAGTGTCTCCATTCTGGCCCAGACTTGGGTTTCAATTTCTGTCATGAGGACAGACTGATTTTTTTGCCAGAAGCCAATTTTTGGCTAGTGGCTAGGTCTCTGTGCTGAGCACAACAGACCCATACAGAGCTGAAAAGCAGGACATTAAATCATTTTGACTTAATAATATCTTCACAACATTGTTTGCTGCTCAGCACTCAGATTTCTGATCCTTAAGTGCTCCAGGATTTAATGGTTAGGCATGCAGAACGTTGTGGATTTAAGTGTACTTATTTACCAAAGCACATGCATGTTTCAAAAGACTGCATATAGTCCCGTTACCCTAAAAAACAACTTTCTATATATGTTCCCATTATCTAGCCATAAAAATCACACAGCAGACGATAAAGAAGAGGCAGAACTGTGGAGCTGTAGCCGAGTCGTTTCCCGAGCAGCCAGTTAAACACGGCAGGCGATGCAGACGTCTTGCGCAGCACCACTACCACCTCCTGGACAAGCCCAGCAGAGCCGCGGAGCGCTCCGGCGCCTCTTCCATCCGCGCATCGGTTTGTCTTGAAGGCAGGCAGGCAGCTCCTTCCTTCCAAGGCATGCCCAGCCATCCCCGGCACTGCAAAGCTCACCTTCCCTCCCAGCTGTGCCATTCCCGGCTACTCCCGCTGCCCCAAAGGCTCCGGTCACAGCGGCTTTACCTCCTTGTTCCGCACGGGCAGCCGGGCACAGCCTCCACCGGCAGTCACAGCTGAAACCACAGTGCTAATGGCCACAGAGCTTGTCACTGGTAAAAGGCAATTAAGAAGCTTTAAATTTTTTTTTTCCTGTTGCTAAGCTATATATATTGCTATAAGTAACGCTAATGTGCTACTATGTGCACGTCCGTCCAAGCAGTAAACATTTCATGAACTATAAAATATATTTTTTAAAAAGGGTAATCTGTAACACAGCAGGAAGATGTCCTCCTGACACTGTTTTCCCTTAATATAGTATAAAAGAGCTTCTCTAGATAAAGACAGAAAAAAGGTCTCTATTTTTAGGTGAAGATAAATCCAGTGTTAAGGAAGCAATTAATAAGAATTTGCAATTTGTATTGAAATGAGGATTTTTCAGTCATTTCAAGATCTGTCTTGTCTTCCTTTATATAGCATATATATCTTAAAATGTTGGTGCCACTTTTCAGATGTCTGTTGACCCCTTAAAACTCCATACTCTATTTTAAACTACAAACTCTACTATATAACCATAAAATTACTTCAATATTAACTCTCATCAAACCTTTTACAGAAATAAAATGCTACTTTATGCTTGCTCCTGCTGATGCAATCACAGAAGTGTTCTCCTTTTTGCTGTTGGAGATAGCTGGACAGTGGATGCCTTCTCAGCCCCTCTCGATCCTACAGATACAGCACAGATTTCTTGTCCTGAAATGTGAAGCTGAAATTGATTGTCCATTCTAACTGATAGGTATGCTCACAGTCACTAGGATTGCTCTAGATCAAAAAACTTGTATGTATTTCAACAGTTGCTGGTCTGTCCACAAAGTCTTATCAAAAAATGTTTCCTAAACTATTTCTAGTTTATTATTGCATAAACATGAAAACACCAAAAAGTTGTTGTTGCTATTTTCATTGTTACACTTGGTCTCAACAATTGTCTCTGAACAGTGTCCAATAATTTCTGCATTTTAATTATCAAATCATACACCAAGACACAGAAATGTGTTTCATTCCGGGTCAGGATATTCTCGGAGGATATACACCAAGTGTCATAGAACACGGTAGATGTATTTTCCTCATAATACATAAACAAATCCAATGAGTGAAGTCAGCTTCCTGGGCAGCACCATGTGCCTGTAACATGAGGGACAGGATGTTTGCAGGAGACACTGCTCCTCCTGCTAATATGTAGAAAATTTTTGGGCATCTGCTTAATTTGCCTGGCTCACAGCCAAATTAATCACTGGCTTTCCACCAGAAATATATCTATTCTTCCTGTGAAAGGCTTGAAGAAGCCACTGAGTTTTTCTCCTCAGTTTCCTCTCCTTTTGCAGGACGAATACTGAAACTTACTTTCTTCTAAGCCGCTCGGTAGTAAGTTTTGCGTGGTTGTGAGGATCATGTAAGTAGCCAGAGGGTGTTGCTGTACTTGTTATTGTCAGGATCAGAGATGTGAGTGAGCAAAGCCAGGCAGGGGCCAGGCAAAGATCCAGTCAGGGTCAGGGAGGTCTGGTCCCGTGCAGCAGCGTGTGCCCGACAGCACAGATGTGCCACCATTCCCGGAGCCGGGAGTGACCGAGGGATAAAAAAGGGAATTTAAAAGCTCCGTGTCCCGCCCGCCGCGGCCCCTCAGCCGCGGCCCCGCCCCTCGCGCCGCGCGCCGGTGGGCGGGGCGTCCCGCCGCGTGACGCGCGGGGCCGCGTGACGCGCTCGCGCGCCGGCAGCACACGTGACCGCTCTCGCGAGCGCCGCGCGCGCCGGCCGAGGCCCCGCCCCTGCCCCCCCTCCCCCACACCGGCTGCGGAAGGAACCGGAGCGCGGCGGCCGCGCCTGACGGGACCCGAGCGGAGCCCCGGGCACGGCCGCACCTCGCAGCGCCACGGAGAGACCGCCGAGGTGAGACCGCCGCCGTGAGACCGCCGCACGGCCCCCGCGCCGAGCCCCGGCCCGCTCCCAGCGATCCGGGCCCGCCTGGGCCTGGGCAGGCCCGCGCCAGGCGGCAGGCCCAGCCCCGCCCGTTCTCCCGCGCCGCTCCGAGCCCACCGGGCCCGGCCGGGGCCGCTTCCCGGGCTGCGGGCATGCGGCGCTGGGGCGCACACCGCAGGGCGCGGGTTTGTTGGGACGTGCGCTCGTTTTCTGGAGAGCCGGCGGGTTGCGGGGCTTGCTGAGGGCCCCGCTGCTCGCACTCCGTGAGCTGTGCGTGTACCCCGAACACGGGCACGTGTTCAGACCTCTGTGCTTCAGGAGTCTCTTGAGAGCAGCCGGAACGGCACAAAAATTAAATGAGCGGGTATCTATAGTCAAATTACTGAACAAATACTCATCATTGAAACTTAATGAGCTCTGTTTCTAACAGCTTTTTTTTTGTTGTTGTCATTTCATCTCACTTGGACCACAAGGTGTGCTTAAAAAGCAGCGAGGCCCTTGTTTTGATGTGGGGTTTGTTATGTGTGTGTGTGTTCCTTGTAGATGTCAGAAGACCTTGCTAAGCAGTTGGCCAGCTACAAAGCTCAGCTCCAGCAAGTCGAGGCTGCCTTATCTGGCAATGCAGACAATGAGGATTTACTGAAACTGAAGAAAGACTTACAGGTGAGAACTTGAGGGTAGGTGAAACATCAGGGTCTTTTACAAGTGTTTTAACTTTCCAAAATATTTGTCCTGCAACAAAAACAGATACTTGGTGGGCTAGTTACTTTCATTCCACATAGCTTGACACAGTCATGGTTGGCCTAGTTTGGAAAAACCCAAAGTATGGCCTATTTTAAGTATATTTTTTTTTGATTACTAAAAAAGATGTGCTAATTTATACAGCAAACTTTTTTTCTATAAACTTTGGCCAGAGAGGTAAAAGATATGCCAGTGCTGTTTTTACTGTGTGCTGGGTTTTAATTATTTTTCCTGAAGAATTTCTCAAAGTCATTACTTTTTGTTGCTTTTACTAATGCTGAAGCCTGATGGTTTAGCTTACCATGATGATCTTACTGAGCTCTCAAATAACTTGATCCAGAACCTGCTTACTCATTAAATGCATTTGCAGTGTTAAAAGCTTTGGAGTGTAGTTCTGTATTCCTTATGCATCTGAGTCTTGACTGTGTTTCTATATAAGAAAGGAAAAGAGTTGTGTTTTTCATTTGTCACAAGAGCATAGTGTGTTCCTCACAGCTAAAGCCCATTTCTGGTCCTTGGGATGTGGTTTAGTGACAGGAAGGCCACCAGCCTAATTTTAAATGTATGAGTGGTCTTTTAGATTCTTGTTCATATAAAGACACATTGGCATATAGCAAATCCCAGCAGTGCTGTTAAAATCTGTCATGAGAGTGCAAGATGCTGCTTCATTTCTGTTGTGGATTGCTTTAGCCATCAGGGGTAAAAAATACATAAAACTCTCCAGTGCAAGGTTCAGTGACCACTGCTCTGTATGGAAATACTAGTAAACTGGGGCTTCAAAACCCAAACACAAGTAGTGCCTCCAAACAGTGATCTTTAGAATTCCTTTTAAACTGCAAAGGCTTTGTGCCCACAAGGCACTTTATAGATCATCTGAATGTGCTCTGTTGTACACTGTTAAAAGCATGTGTATATTTTTATATTTTTAAAATGCACAGCAAAACCCATATGGGATGATATTTCCGATACCAACACGACCTCGGCTTTGATATGCAGAGATCATTGATGTGAAAGGACAACTTGCAAACTTTTTAATAAAAGCTTTCTGCACAGAATGGGGAAGATCTTTACACTTTCGTCCCCAAAAGGTTTGCTATCCGTATGTTCCACCTTGAAAATGACAATGTTTTGCAGACTTGATATATGCCAACTAAGCAAACAACTGTAAGAGTGGGTTTGATGCATCAGTGTCCCAGCTAAATAGCTTTTTGTCTGTTCAGAAAGATAGTTACTATGTTACTGGAACATCCTTTTCTTATTATAAATACTGATGCATTTTGTATGCTTAGATGATTCAAGGTTAAATATTAGAAGAAACTGTTAGAAGTACTTAGCTTTTCAGTTTTCAGTTCACCAAAGCATTTCTAGGACAGGGTCTGTGCACCCAAGAACCAAACTTACCTTTTCTAGGATTGATGGCAGCTGTCATCTTCTGTAATTGGAGATGAGATCTGTGGGTGTTGTGCTTTGGAGTCTAGAGCTGTGTCTGGCTTTGTGAAGACCAGTTGGTCAGGAAAAATCTTGGCAAACTACGTAGTGTTCCCTGTGGGTCACACCTCCTATCACGGGGATGTGGCACCAAGCCATGTTGTTCAACCTGTTTGGCTCTACTGAGCTGCTGTGGTAGTCCACGTCCTGCTCAGAAATTTTCTTGGAATGATCTCTTCTCTTAAAGACTTCAGAACTGTCTCATGGCTTGCAATAAAATGAGTGTCTCTATCTTCTGAGCTGAGCATTATGGTCTGTGGATATCAGATGAAGATTTTTACCAAAAGTTAGGTAATTTTAATAGCCTGGTATGTAAGAGACTTTAATAAATTCAGAGGATTCTTGGTAGACTTGTCTGAAACTATTCACATCCAAGTTCTAGAATAAGCTATCCTTGAGACAAGAATTAGTCAACAGTTTGGTGTTACAGGTAGTTGCAATACCTGAAGCACTTGTTTTCAGGAGTGGCTTGTGCCTGATGGGATCTATTTGACCTGCTGAGAGAGATACTTGTCTTAAGCCATAATGCCTCCTGGATTTGCAGAATACAGCTACCTGTATGTTAAGGAATAGTTTGGGATTTTGCAGCTTGGGGGAAAATTAGGCTAATGCTGTATGTTCTCAAATTAGGTAACTTGATAATTAAAATCTGTTGTGCTTCAGCTGTAGTATTAGGAAAATGGTGAGCTAAGTAGTAGAAGTAATTGTGTGTTCCTGTGCTCAGAGTTGCTACTGATTGTGCTCACTGGAGTACTTATTAACCAGCAGCTCCTCCAAAGCAAAGAGCAAAACTTTATTAGCTGTTGGAAATTCAGACAGTAAAATGGCTGCAACAGAAACAAATTGTTAGGCCTTTATGCTAGTTGTAGAGTTTATCAGATAAATGTGCATGTAAGTTTATGATGTATTAACTTTGGAAGTGTTTACAATCCTTTAGGTTCTTAAGGGATGATGAAGCAGCTCCTTTACTGCATTTTCCTGAGTCTTTGTATGCCCATAGCTGAAGTAAGATGTGAAATGGGGAGGAAAGTTCAGGCTTTGAACACTGTCTGTAACCCTCCCCTGACTTAAATGTTTATTGTTTGTTAGGACTCATTCATGCTGAGGTACTCAAAGAATTGAAGAATTTTTCTTCTTTAGGGCCAACAAAGTTTCTTTGCATTATACAGAAAGTTTATATGGCCTTTTAGGTGCTGTCTCCTTTGACTTTTAACCCTAGTGAAATCCAAGAGAGGTCTTGATTCTTTGTCTTTAATGTAACATTTACAGGAAATTGGGAGAGGTTTTTGCAAGCTCCTGCCTGCAAATAAACAATGTATAATAAAAGAACTGGGAAATTCTGTTACTGTGTCATCTTGAATTAGCAAGGGAAGGCCTATCCTGAAATCTCAAAGTGAGGGAACTTAGGCAAAAACAAACACTTCTATGAAACTGACTTTAGGAAGCCAGTTCTTTAGTGTGCACCTGGATGCTTTCTAACAAAATGAGAGCTGCACAGCTGGGAGGGTGCTCTGCCACCCTGACTTTGGATGTTGCAGTTCAGCCAATGAAAGAAATGCTAAAAAAACCAATAAGCTACTTTTTGAAAATTGGAGGAGGGCATGGGCAGCTTTAGAGCAGTAAAGTGTAGTGAGGACCATACATATTTTTATCTACAATTGCAATTAATGAGTTTAAGTAAATTACTAAAAAACAAAGGCGAGTGTAATTCACACATCAGCAATGAGTATAATACAATAACGTTAAAAAAAAAACGAAACCAAAACCAGTAAGCTTGGGGTAAAAATATGCTTGGTAAGAGGAATTTGAAAAATTATTCTTTGTGGGTTTTTTGTCTTTTATAGGAAGTCATAGAGTTAACCAAAGATCTCCTTTCAACACAACCTTCGGAAACTCTTGCGAGTTCTGACAGTTCCGCGTCCGCCCTGCCCAGTCACTCATGGAAGGTTGGGGATAGGTGTATGGCCATATGGAGTGAGGATGGACAGTAAGTGTAGAAAACTTCTCTAAGTTACATGAAATAGTTCAATGGTAAGAGACTTTCATTCAGTTTGAATTGACCAGAGTGACTAAAAGCAAAAAGAAATTATCAAATAAATGTGGTATTAAGTGTTCTTGGACTGTTTATTAAAGGTCAGTATTTTAGGTAGCAGTGTCACTGATTACTATGAAGAAAAATTTTTGCTGTATCTCAGTTTGGGCCTCTTAATTGGAAATTAATTTTTAATTTTTAATTTAACAAGCTGGGTTTGGATATAAAATTACTAACTGTGTAATGTAACTGTAGAATTAATCAACCTTTTGGGTTTCGTCTCTTATATATTAGCTCATGTAGTTCTGGGAACCCAAGCAGATCATTCTGACTCCATAAACTTTGAAATTGACATTTAGAAGTTACTTTTCATACTGCAAATGTGTAACTGTTGCAGCTGTAAAAAAACAACTGCTTATGAAGGACCAATGTTGCAATTGCTGCCACTTAGAGAGAGGCTGTATTATTGG